AAGCCCTACACTCATGGTCACCACAGTGGATCAACATGTACTAATCTGCTCAAGTAGAAGCCTCCACTACTGTCTTAACTTTATGTGCATTTTTAAGTTTTTAAGCTGCTCTAGAACAATCAGATCATACTATACAATGCATCATATGTGCCAACGTCCAGTGAAATACACCAATGGTTAAAATGAGTAAGACGAGTTGTGAGGCCTGAGGCAGTGGCGCGCAAACAGGTACTGACTGTCACCTACTTAGCTAAGGAGGCTGTCCCTAATGTGGCCCAGGCCCCATGGTTGTTTACTCTACTGTAAGAATGCGGATACATATGGCTTAGACTTGCTTCCAAATGTGGTTTGAGTGATCAAATCACTATGCGCATTCAAGACGCATTAAGTGTGTCCACACCTGTATTTAAAGCTGTCCACTTGTGATCCTGTCACAAAAAATGAATGTTAACACCAGGTCCAAACAGAGGCTTTGGGTTTCAATTCTCATGCTGAGCTTACTAGCTTAAAGCCTGGTTTATACTTCTGCGTAGGTTACGCCATAGCCTCGACGCTGTCATGAACCGTTCGGACTTCTGTGTCTCTCCGTCTCATGTTTGGTCGCGGTGCGATTCACCCCCAGGGCAGCAGGGGGCTCTCAACTACAGTGACAGTCCCCTGCATTTACAAATGGTGGGGCTCGCCTTGCAAAACAGCAGAAATATGATCCTATCAGATAAACCTATCACAGCGCTTCGCCTCAACACAACGGCGTAGGCGAAGACTGACGCCTATGGCGTAGAATACAGCGTCAAAAGGTTGGGTTTAGGCACCCAACTAACCTTTATAAAATCTCCATTTTTTTAGCATAGAGAGTAATCACATTGCCGACTCATCCCGTGTAAATAGCCACATGTGAATTAGAAGGACAGTGTAAGAATTATCAGGACCTTCCGGCAGACTCAGAATAATCAGAGGCTCAGAATAATACACACTGTGTGAATATTCATGAGGTCCTGCTATTTCACAACCGGCCATAGGGGGCACTGTGGTGATACACAGATTATACACAAAATCAGGTTTATGTGTATTAAATGGTCATCTGGTTTTTTTGCATTTTTAGGGTCAGTGGACCAATAGAAACACTTCTACATCTTTAGAATTTTTTCAAAATTTTTCAAAATTAGCAGGACACTGCTCCTGTCCTGTTAATACAAAATGTCCTTCCAGTGTGGTGTGTACTCTGACCAAATGTCCTGCTAATACACATGTACACACACACACACACACACACACACACACACACACACACACACACACACACAAAGGACTACAATCATCAAGTCTTAACATAAAATCTGCATTGCCTGTAAAATCGTTATTTTGTTTATTAATTTTGTTTTGTTTGTATTAAAGATTGTGCCTGAGTCCCAACTGATTAGCCCCCGATACTAGTCTCTCAACATAGTCACACACACACACACACACACACACACACACACATCGTTACATCATAGCCTAAACTTTATTGAAATCACAACTAATCCACATCCAAATTATTTCAAAACCAACACAAATGGAGAGATTTCTAGTGAGGACCAACAAGGCAACTGACGCACCACCAGCTGCAAAAAGTTTCGAAGGTACGATGAAGCATACCTGCAGTTTGGGTTTACAGTCACGGCTGATCTGAGACCTCAGTGTGTCGTGTGTGCCGAGGTGCTGGCAAACGACAGCATGAAGCCCTGCCATCTAAAAAAGGCACCTCGAAACAAAGCATGCTGGCATTAAGGATAAACCGGCTGAATATTTTAAAAGAAAGCTTGATGGCCTCCAACAGCAACAGGCAACCATGTCAGCGCACAGCACTGTGTCTAAACAGTGTTTGGAGGCATCGTATGTAGTGGCCAAAAGAATAGCCAAACTGGGTAAACCGCATACAATTGCCGAGACTCTCATTTTGCCGGCTGCGCAAGACATGTGCAGAATAATGATAGGAGATAGTGCAGCAGCCAAACTCGGTGCAGTACCACTGTCCAATGACACAGTCGCTAGGAGAATTTCAGACATGTCTAATGATATCAGAGAGCAACTGATAGAGTTCATAAAAAGAGTCCTTACTACGCGCTGCAGCTGGACGAATCCACTGATATTGCTGGTCAGGCACAGCTCCTCACCTATGTCAGGTATCTGCGGGACAAGACGATTGAGGAGGATGTCCTGTTTTGCCGGCCTCTTCAGTCGCACACTACAGGAGAAGCCATCTTCAATGTCCTTGATGTTTTTATCCGTGAAAATGGTTTGGCTTGGGACCGATGTGTTGGCCTATGCACGTATGGTGCGCGGGCAATGATGGGCCGCGAGCGCGGCCTAGCTGCTCGCGTTCAGCAAGTAGCTCCACTTGTGAAATGGACACATTGCATGGTCCATCGCGAAGCTCTAACTGCTACAAAAATGCCAGTTCTCTTTGACTCCGTGCTGAACCAATCCGTGAAAATGATAAATCTCATCAAATCACGGCCGCTAAACTCTCGCTTGTTTGGGGTCTTCTGCCAGGAGATGGGGTCAGGGCACGAACAGCTGCTTCTGCACACTGAAGTTCGCTGGCTCTCCAGGGGGCGGGTGTTACAGCGGTTGTATGAGAGGAGGTGAAGTGGTTTTTGACAGAAATCAAATCAGATCTGGCGAAGCATCTGGATGACACATTGTGGCTTGCGTCTCTGTCCTATTTGGTCGATATATTTGACCGCTTGAATGGCCTCAACCTGTCTTTGCAAGGCCGCGAAACTCATATTTTGCTCCTTGCAGACAGAGTGGACGCCTTCACACAAAAACTTGACCTCTGGCATGGCCGCATCAGTCGAGGGAACTGCGACATGTTCCCCAGCCTTGCAGACTTTATCACGGATGCAGGCACGTCACACGATTTCTCCTCTCTATTTCAATCAGCGTCTGAGCACCTGTCAGAAATGAGAACACAATTTGCGACGTACTTTAAGGAGGATTATCGCTCTTTTGCGTGGGTTCGAGATTGTTACGACCCGGCTCGTGGGGGAGAGGGAAGCAACATGAACCAGAGTGTTTTTGGTAAAATTGCAAGTATTTATTTGCAGGGTTCACAAGAAAACCAGGAAAAGGGCTGTTGGATGCTGCTTAACTCAAAGAAACAAATATAACTTAAAGAGGTCTCTCCAAAATGAGAGATAGCCACTGACTACTTCAAAATCAAATTAAACAAAACTCTGACCCATCATCAATAATCAAAAATACAAAGTAAGCAGCACCCTCTAAAACCTAGTGTGTCTAACATAAAATCAATCTACAGGTGTCCGGTGTGTGTTTCCTTACCACAGTTCAGATTAAGGCAACACAGGAGACACTAGGATCTTATACTTAAACTAAGGCTCTTACAGAAGTTAACACATTTACAACAGTAGAGCACAATACACACAGGCGAGTTGATCAAGGGCAAAATCACAACTCCCCGTTCAACAGGTAGGCAGCTATTTAAATAGAAGGCGGTAGATGATTGGAGGGACTGCCAGACGCCGCACCAATCAGATCATCGGCTGGAACCAGGAAGTAGGCAGGTCTCGCCCCAGCCAATCCTCGGCAAGGGGTCACACATCCTGTTTAACATGACCCAGCTGCACAACACAGATACACATACCCAGATAATGGAGGTGGCTGTAACAGAGATCCATTTGTGTGCACAGCAAACGAGCTGTCAATCGATATGCAGGAACAGCTCATTGAGCTGAAGAGTGACAGTAGGCTGAAGGAAGTCTTTACCTCCTGCCCTCTTTCGTCATTCTGGGAAGCACTGATGCAGGAATACCCTCAACTCTGTGACGTCGCCTTGAAGATTCTCCTCCCTTTCGTGTCGACATATTTGTGTGAGGCAGGATTCTCAAAAATGACTGCACTCTAAACAAAGTACCGCAATCGTGCACAAATCGAGGATGATTTGAGGCTATGTTTATCAGACATTGCTCCAAGAATTGAGGATCTTTGCAAGGCAAAGCAGGCTCAGGTCTCACATTAACATCGCTTACCTGCAAGCTTCTGTCAAAAATGCAGATGATATGCCTACTATTAGGCCTAGTAATAACACTACTAAACACACACTAATAAAAAATAAATTCATATCAGAGGTCTGGTGCCAATTCCCAATTATAGCAATAGCCTAGTCATGATAATAGGCCTACTGATGATAATAATAATAATAATAATAATAATAACAACAACAATAAAGCATGTAACCTCATATAATTATATAGCAATAGCCTAGTAATGATAATAGGCCTACTTATGATAATAATGCAACTGCAATGAACCAGCTTTGGGGGGCCCAGCTTGCAAAAGGTTGAGAACCCCTGGATTAGACAAAACATCAGAAATTTTGATCATAATAAGCTTAATTGTTTTTTAAATAAATTAGAAATATTTCTAAGAACAAAATTGCATCAAACATGAAGACGAAGATGAAACACCTCAGGAATAAAAATGGGAATTAAAAAATAAATATATGAAGTTAGAGATAAATAATGAACAAGTGCGTAAAAATAAATTAATACAGTGAACAGTTTGTCAAAATTATTGTCCCGGGAGAAAAAGTTGTTTATTTTAATGTTTTATTTTTTTTGTCTTTTAGATAGATTATTTATTTATTTTTAATTTATTTTGCAGTCGTATGTGGTCATTTATGTGAGTCCACCCTATTTGTTGATGCATTTTTTCCCCTTAGATTTACAAAATAAAAAAGGTTTGCAGTAGATTTCAGGTTTTGTGTGGCATACAAGAGCACTTCAAGAACTAGACAACAATGCAAATAATAAACCTTGAGATTCCTTCTTAAGGACAAGTTCCCATATCCAAGAAGAGTGAAATAGGTTCAAAACAATTCATCACATCATTGGACAACGCTATATGTAGGTGAGGTAAAGCGTTATAATGACCTCTAGTGTTCTTAAGCCACAACTGCATGCTTGTAATCAATAAATACTGTACTTTTCTTCCAGGGTTTGTGTAGTGGATTTGTGTGAGAAGTTCTTCAAAGTAAGAAAAGCTGATACCGGTAAAATATAACCTACATTCAGTAGTTATTGTAGTTACTGTATGTGGGTCACTGTACACAACCTGCCTATGCTCTCTACAGGAAGTGGCCAAAAACGTGTTTCAAGCCACATTGATGTTTCAGATCATGTTCTCCCTGTCTTTAGTATCTCGGAGACATTGGCATCCTTCCATTATCATGGAATAATGTGTTGTGTTTGTGTTAAGGTGTCGGCACTGTGATGAATCAGGGTGAGGAGAGAGAGGAGGGAGTCCCTCCCTCTAAAACCACTCTGTGTGGGGAACCTGGCAGCCAGACTAGAGCTCAGAGGTGAGATGTGCATCTCTGTGTATGACTGTTTTTCCTGTCAGAGCTCAAAACTCAATAATCACAGTCAAATTTCCGTGTGTGTGTCGTGTTGTAGCCCAGAACAGGTGCAGAGACCAGACTCTCCTGTATCCAGCTGTGTGTCCATGAAGAGTGATCGGTCCATGATACTTCCTCTTGATTTTAAAGGACAACAGTCTTCTAAATCAGAGTAAGTTGACGTAATTGAATTTAATAACAGAATTTGTAAAGAATTGTGTTGAATTTCATTCATAATAATGTATTATAATGCTTCAATCAGTTTTGTTTGTACCAAAGATAAAATTCTAAGAACGTTTGTGAATGCCAATAATTATTTTAAATCAGTCATATGTGGAACTTAGATTGATCTCAGTACATCAACAAGCCACGGGGATGATACGGTGAACAGAATATTCCTTTTGCAGTAAGTTTATTTGTTTTGGGCCTGTATATTTTATTTTAGGTCATTTTGGTATCGTATTTGAACTCCATTATAATTCTTAAAGCTACAGTGTGTAGGATTTAGTGTCATCTAGTGGTGTAGTTACAGATGGCAACTCCCTTGTGAATATTTTAGTTCTGCTAAGAGATCCTCATAAATGGAACACACTGAACGTTTAAGTCAAAAGAGTGTGCGCTGTGTTTCTATTAGAATTCATCATGAGCACAGCACCTTTAATGTGCTGCACATGTCATTATGTGATCTTAACCTTTATATTCTCTAAGGAGAGGACAGAGGCGGGATAAGGGTCTCCAACTGCCCATAACTCTTCTTCATGTCAGAGCTCAGAACTCATTATTCACAGTCAAATATCTGTGTGTGTTGTGGTGTAGCCCAGAACAGGTGCATAGACCAGACTCTCCTGTAAACAGGTGTGTGTCCATGAAGAGTGATCGGTCCATGATACTTCCTCTGGATTTTAAAGGACAACATTCTTCTGAATCAAATTAAGTAGACATCATTACATTGAATAACACTACATTTCAGAAAAGTCTTCTTCTAACTCCGTATTGGAGTTAATTCATATTAAAGTTCTAGTGTGTAACATTTAGATATATTGGCGGAAATGGAATAGTGGCCACATTAGGCTCCATCAGCTTAACATACCGAAATCTCGAGCTGAACTGCCTGTGGTTGAGTAGCATTGTTGGTAATGTAGGCACCAGGTTTTGACAAGAAAGAATAATGTGTGGAATAAATCAGACAATATATCTTGTTCTCGTAATGTATTGGGATGTTTTTGTTACTGTCCAACATTCTTGCTTGCATCTGGGTCTATTTCATTCTGTGATTTTTTTAATATCAGGATTCATCATGACATACCACATTTAACATGCTGTTGGTGTTATTATGTGTATGTAAAACTTTTTATTTTCTCCACAGAGTTCACGAGAGCTCAGAGGTTCCTGGTGGTCAGTCTGCTCAACAGCAACAAACTAACCTGGACTCTATATTCATGGTGAGTAAATGTACAAAGCCAGCTGCTTAATAAAAAAACACAGACCAAACATTGAATATCACTCTGGTCCTAAAGTACGACACACATTGGTTGTATCACAGAGTGTTGAGCTATTTAACAATCATCATCGGACACAACATACAGACAAAAGTAGTAGTGCAGGTATAGTAGACTCAATGTGCTGATCTGTGGAGAAAATGTTGACAAGTTTGCCCGTGTTAGACTCTAATGATGTGTATCAAGACGCTGCTGTGTGTTACCCTTCATAGTCACCATGCTGAAATCTTTACACTTTTAGTCTTGCAGATGATATAATGTTGTTTTTTTTCTATACGTTTATAAAGACAACTGTTTTTGTGAGGTTTATATTGTTTATGTTATTGTGTTCCAGCTGCTTGAGGAGAACATTGTCAGTTTTGTGAAAGATGAGTTGAAGAGGTTCCAGAGGACTCTGAGTCTAGATTACCCCGAATCATTAAAGAGGCCGAGGGAGGATGAGGAGGTGAACAGTGAGGAGGAAGAGCAGAGGAGCAGCAGAGAGGCATTTCTGAAGGTCACAATTCACTTCTTGAGGAAGATAAAGCAGGTGGACCTGGCAGACCTACTGCAGAGCAGTAAGACGCTTTTAACAGTTTTCTATTTTAATCTGAACATGTTAATCAGATCTATTAATTTTTCTGAGCTGAACCCAGAAGCCACCAATTATCTGAACAGCTTTGAAAGAGCAGGCAAATGTTCAATGTTTATTCTTCTCAGATGTACTGCAGCCAGTTACTTTCATGTGTCATTTGTTCCTTCAGGAACTCATTCTGGAATGTGCCAACGTAAACTCAAGTCAAATTTGAAGAAGAAATTTCATTGTGTGTTTGAAGGGATTGCAAAAGCAGGAAAACCAACCTTTCTAAATCAGATCTACACAGAGCTCCATATCACAGAGGGATGGACTGCAGGGGTCAATTATGAACATGAGGTCCGACAGATTGAAGCAGCATCCAGGAGGTCAGCCAGACCAGAAACAACCATCAGATGTGAAGATGTCTTTAAACCGTCAGCCCACATAGATAGACCAGTCAGAACAGTGATGACTACGGGAGTGGCTGGCATCGGGAAAACAGTCTTGACTCAGAAGTTCACACTGGACTGGGCTGAAGACAAAACTAACCATGACATACAGTTCACATTTCCATTCACTTTCAGAGACCTGAATGTGCTTAAAGACAAAAAGTTCAGCCTGGTGGAACTTGTTCATCACTTCTTTACTGAAACCAAAGAGGCAGGAATATGCAGGTTTGAAGAGTTCCAGGTTGTGTTCATCTTTGACGGTCTGGACGAGTGTCGACTTCCTCTGGACTTCCACAACACTGAGATCCTGACTGATGTTAAAGAGTCCACCTCAGTGGGTGTGCTGCTGACAAACCTCATCAGGGGGAACTTGCTTCCCTCTGCTCGCCTCTGGATAACCTCACGACCTGCAGCAGCCAATCAGATCCCTCCGGTGTGTGTTGACATGGTGACAGAGGTCAGAGGGTTCACTGACCCACAGAAGGAGGAGTACTTCAGGAAGAGGTTCAGAGATGAGGAGCAGGCCTACAGAGTCATCTCCCACATCAAGACATCCCGAAGTCTTCACATCATGTGCCACATCCCAGTCTTCTGCTGGATCTCTGCTACAGTTCTGGAGGATGTGTTGAAAGCCAGTGAAGAAGAACAGCTGCCCAGTACCCTGACTGAGATGTACATTCACTTCCTGGTGGTTAATTCCAAACTGAAGAACATCAAGTATGATGGAGGAGCTGGGACAGTTCCACTCTGGAATCCAGATAGTAGAGGGATGATTGTGTCTCTGGGAAAACTGGCTTTTGAGCAGCTACAGAAAGGCAACCTGATCTTCTATGAATCAGACCTGACAGAGTGTGGCATCGATATCAGAGCAGCCTCAGTGTACTCAGGAGTGCTCACACAGATCTTCAAAGAGGAAAGCGGGCTGTACCAGGGCAAGGTGTTCTGCTTCGTCCATCTGAGTCTTCAGGAGTTTCTGGCTGCTCTTTATGTCCATCAGACCTTCATCAACTCTGGTGTCAACCTGCTGGCAGAATCACAAACACCGTCCCGACAGTTTAAACGATTTACAGTCCAACTTAAACTAAAACGTCTCCACCAGTTTGCTGTGGACAAGGCCCTACAGAGTCCAAATGGACACCTGGATCTGTTCTTACGTTTTCTCCTGGGTCTTTCATTGCAGACCAATCAGAGTATTTTACAACACCTGGTGACAGAGACAGGAAATGGATCAATGACCAAACGAGCAACAGTGAAGTACATCAAAAAGAAGATCAGTGAGGATCTTCCTCCAGAGAGAAGTGTCAACCTGTTTCACTGTCTCAATGAGCTGAAGGATCATTCTCTAGTGGAGGAGATCCAACAGTACCTGAGTTCAGGAAGACTCACTACAAAGAATCTCTCCCCTGCTCAGTGGTCAGCTCTGGTCTTTATGTTGCTGTCGTCAGAAAAAGATCTGGAAGTGTTTGACTTGAAGAACTTTTCAGCTTCAGAAGAGGTTCTTCTAAGGATGCTACCAGTGGTAAAAGCCTCCAATAAAGCTCTGTAAGTGGAAAAGACAATACAATATATTAATAATATTATACATGATGGGGCTGTCATATTTCCTTGATATACTGTGTGTAGAAAATACAGACACAACATGACTCTATGTACAATCATAGATTAGTTCCATTTAAAAAAAAGTTGCACTTTTGTGTAAGAATGTCAGATTGGTTAACAACTTCCTCATCTTCAGGTTGAGTAGCTGTAACCTGTCAGAGAGAAGCTGTGAAGCTCTGGCCTCAGTTCTCAGCTCCCAGTCCTCTAGTCTGAGAGAGCTGGACCTGAGTGACAATGACCTGGGGGATTCAGGAGTGGAGTTGCTCTCTGCTGCATTAAAGAGTCCACACTGCACACTGGAAACTCTCAGGTCAGGAGTCAGCAGTTTGTGAGAGAGATGTCATGTTCATGCTGATTTACATGCTGGTTAATGTCAGTGATGAGCCCCAACATCTACAGACATTTTCTATTCACATAATTTTTAACAAAGCTTTGGTACCACCCTGTTGCAACAAAATTAAACTTAATTTACCTTTTGTTAGTATTGTAGAAGAGATAATATGATTTACTATATACAACACCACTCAGCTGGTAGGGACAGTTTAGTTTTTGACTGCATTATGATTTAATAATGATATAATTTCAAACCAGAACACTTTAGAAAGAATTAGACAAAGCGTCTATATCCATGGTAACAGCACTGTGAAGCTGTACTTAGACACAGTGGAGCTTTGAAGTAAATGCTATCGTCAGTATGCAAACATGTTGTAATATTATAACAGGTGTAACATTGTTCCCCATCTTACGTAGTTTCACGTTAGCTAACATTTTCTAATTAGTACTAAACACAAAATATAGCTGAGGCTGATGGGAATGGCAATTTCCAAAGTTAGAATTCATCTAGAGTGGGACATAAATAGTTCAGTCAGGACCACTTTTGCCAAAATAACTTTTATTCCAAAGCAGAATATTACATTTGGCGGTATGGCTCTGTTCTGGGACCTCCTTACCCTTTGACGTGCCTACATAGAAAACGTTAAGGCAGGGAGAGCCCACCTCCCTTGTTTAAGACAAGGGGAGTGGCAGCAGAGACCCCCCAGGGTACAGAACAGAGCAAGCATCAATGACAATCAGAAAATGACATTGATTAATTAGATACAACATAAAAGGAGGAGCTGGGTTGGAGGTGGGTCTCAAAACGGCTTGTAGAGGAAGCAGCAAATATAGGCAGGCTAAAGCAGCTTAAATAAGGCGCCATGAATGATATTTGCCAATTGGATGCTTAAGGGAATCAGCTGAGCTGTCAGCTGGCTGTGTGTTTACGATTAGCTATGATCATATGTTATAGCTGGAATTGAGAGCTGAGAGCTTCGTGGCCTGCCTGAACTACCGCTATGCTTAATTTTTGTGAAATTTCATGTTAATCCATTCAATAGTTGGTGAGTTGTTTCACTCCAAGCCACAAATGTCAACCTCATGGTGGCAGCAGAGGAGAAGTCAGGGATCATCAAAGTCAGTCCTTAGAAACTCTAACATTTTGTGCCAATCCTAAGGGGACATTTGCAAAAAATAAAATCTTTCAGTTTATTGTGTGCATAACTATCCCAGGCTCACAAAAACTACCCCACACTCACCGAATATGAGCTAGATGACCTTCTTGGAGGAATTCTACGAGTCAAATTTCCCTCTTTTGTATATTAGGGAGACGTGTACTCCAGTCCCCCCGTGGTAACTGCGCACATGACTTTGCTTGCAAATTGCCACCATTATATTCTCAAAATATACCATTAAAGTCTCAAAATCTGTTTCTGTGCAAAAAAAAATTTTTTTTTTTTTTTTTTTTTTTTTTTTATAAAACCATAAAAATTTTACACAAAAAAAAAATATACACCTTTCACTACAGTTTCAGTGTCTATATCTGAAGAAATTGTCACAGACATGGAAAAGAATATACATTTGTGTATTGCCTCTGGCGTTTCTGTGCACAGAATCCATTCCTATGTTAACAAGGCTTTCACTGAATTGCTTTACTGAGTATTACAGTCTAGAAAGATAGAGCTGGCAGCAGCAGTGCTGCAGCAGCCATGCAGCTGACACACTGTCTGTCTAAACACTGTTTAGCGCCGTAGCTGTCACATGCTGCTCAGATAGGCAGTGTGAACCAAGGACAAGCTAGCACACCCATATCAAACACAGTCTGATGACAGACTTTCATTGCTAGTTCCTTGAGTTTGTGTTGTGCTTGGAAGATCTGTTTTTAGTTTCGTTCTCCGACTACCTGGAGGTCTTTACAAAGCACCCTAAAATGTGGTGCTCAATGTGGCTAGGGTCAAAGTTCAAATGTAATCATGTCATCAATCAGGTGACCAATGGATCTATTCAGAAAATTATTGCGTTATCCAACCCTGTCACTGGCGTGTGAGGCCCACAACAAATCCTGTCCACCGGGAATCTTCCTGTTTCTTGCAATTGGCCCTTCCAGGCCTGGTTATAGTTTTAGTCAGGAACACTTTCAACTGAGATTTCAATCAATAAAGCCATGTTGGCTTTCTATTTAGTTTAACCGAAAACAAATTCACATAACTCCTTTTTAAAAATCTGATTTTATACAGTAAAACTAATACTAACTGTGTGTATGTGCAGGCTGTCAGGCTGTCTGGTCTCAGAAGAAGGCTGTGCTTCTCTGGCCTCAGCTCTTAGGTCTAACCCCTCTCACCTGAGGGAGCTGGACCTGAGCTACAATCATCCAGGAGACGCTGCAGTGATGCAGCTGACTGCTGGACGAGAAGATCCCCACTGGAAGCTGGACAAACTTAAGTATGTATGGCAGTAAGATCGCTTACACTGTTTGTTACACTGACAACCTTGAAAAAACTGATTTACTTTTAATACTAGTTGTTAAAACAAATTCTGGATGGAAAACCCTTAGAGGGAAGGTCAATGAATGCTTCTGTTTTCATAATTAAAGAGAATATTCTGGTCTGACTGTGTTTCAGGGTGGACCATGGTGGACCACAGAGATTACAACCTATGAGGAAGTGTAAGTCTATATTCAGTTTGATCAGTGCCTGAAATGGACCGAAAAATGGGGCCAGCGCCTTTATTCAGCACAACCATTAACCTAAATATAATTCATTTGGTGTTTATTATACATTTTAACTACTGTTTTCTTTAAGCACTTAACAAGAAGAAATAGAAAACAGTGTAAATAAAAATTGAGTAAAATTATACACACATAGAAATGTGTCTCAAGTAGTACATTAACAGAAGCAAAATGTGTGTTATACAATAATATTATATTATTACAGTATAATGATGATAGATGTTTATATTGTTGTTCAATTGAGCCTATAGGTCCCACTGCAATTACCAAAGAACATATTTTATATCTCTGAGGTAATAACGTAATTTTAATTGTTGAACAGCATCCTGGGCACAGTGGGCAGTAACAGACTGAAAATATATAGGGGTAGCCTGCCTCATTTTAACATGGATTTTAACACTTAACACAAACTAAATTGAAAGAAAAGCATTTCAAACTCTGTTGAAAGTTTATCAGTCAGCCATAGACGTCCTCTGGTTAGCTAACTAACTTAGTTAATTCACTCAAGTGAAAATATTGTTGACTAGCCGTTATCATGATCGTTTTTTTAAAGCTGCAGTAGGTAACTTATAAAAATAAACTTTCACTATATCCTGACAGTAGTACATGATACAGATTCCCAGGTCTCAAGTATCTTCAAGCCATAAACCTAAAATAAAGTATCTGTATTTGACCACTTTGGAATGAGATTTAACAATCATCTATCTTTCTTTGCTCTGATTTGTTGTTTTAATTCAGGCCCAGAGGATTCTTGCAAATGCTTACTAGGTAATAGGAGGAGCCAGAGGAATGACATTTTTTCACAGATTATCTGCCTCTTATACTACTGTCAGGTTATAGTGAAATATTCAACAAATATGACAAAAAGTAATTTTTATAAGTTACTTACTTCAGGTTTAATGTAGCACAAGTGCATGATTGCACAGTAAAGAGTTGTTCAATGATACTGGGAATAAATCATTGAATTACAAGCAGTCAACTAGTAAACTACTCTAGTAATCTGTTCACACTACACATTGATTCAGCTACCTGTCTGATCCTATATAATAATAATAATAATAATAATAATAATAATAATAATAATAATAATAATAATAATAATAATAATACATTTTATTTGTAAAGCACTTTTCATAAAAGAATCTCAAAGTGCTACAGAAACCAGGAAACAAAATAACAAAAAACACTAAGGGCAATCATATCCTCAAGTTATTGACATTACGTAATCAAAGACCCACAGTAACAACAAGATCATGCACTTCACCACCCACCCACACATACAAGCAATGATGGTGATCAGATGAGCTGGTCAGTAATCTTGCTTTGAAGCATTGAGGACTTATTATATAAACCTCGAAAGAATACCAGCCCATTTCAGGCATTGACTTTCATTCATAACACAACTAGAGACTGATGAAATTGTTCAAACTGAGACTTAATTTACACATACAAATAACTGATGTTTAATCATTTTAAATTTAATTATTATTAATATTAATTATTATTTATTTTTCTTAATCAGATGCTTGTGAACTCACAGTGGACCCAAACACAGCACACCGATTCCTCAGACTGTCTGACAACAACAGGAAGATGACATCAGTGAGACAGAATCAGCCACACCCTGTTACTCCAGAGAGATTTAATCACTGTCAGGTTCTATGTGAGAATGATCTGACTGGTCGCTGTTACTGGGAGGTTGAGTGGACAGGAGATGTTCTTATAGCAGTGACATACAAAGGAATCAGAAGGAGAGGGAAAACTGATAACTGTTGGTTTGGAAGGAATGATCAGTCCTGGAGTCTGCAGTGCTCTGAATCTAGTTACTCTGTCTGGCACAAGAAGACAGAAACAGACCTTCGTGTCCCTGCCCGCTTTGGATCTGGTAGAGTAGCAGTGTATGTGGACTGTCCTGCTGGCACTCTGTCCTTCTACAAAGTGTCTTCTGGCAGTCTGATCCCACTCCACACCTTCCACTGCACATTCACTGAACCTCTCTACTCTGGGTTTGGATTTGGATACGAGTCCTCTGTGTCTATTTGTGAGCTGTAGGAAGGATAGTGCTCTATGTAGAGAAACACTGACTAAAATGACTGCTGACACCTTCATACACAGGAAAGGGAATTTGGTTGATATCAGGAGCATCTCAGTCATGACTTCAAAACTCTTAAAAAGTTGCCTTCAAATGTTGAGTGCTTCTCTACAACAAGTGTTTTTCACTAAATAAGCATATACAACTTTTTAAGAGTTTAATACTCAGGACTGTGAGTGTAGAGTTGATTGATTCTGAATCTGATTTTGAATCAAATGTTAACTCTAAACTCTAATTGGTGCACAGAAGTATGTGACATGGATGAGGCCACACTATTTGTCCCATTTACACCTCTACACATTTTTAACCATACTTGCTTTTTTTCTCATTTGGCCAGAATTACACAACACACGATCTGTAGAATTGCTATCACTTACTGCACTGAGTTTATTTGTTTAGCACAATAGTGGGAGAAATATTCAGATATTTGAGGAAAAGCAGCCAGTGTAGAAATACTCTGTTAGAAGTACATGCACTTTATGGATTATAATTAGTGATGCTTTACTGTGTATATCACTTCAGCTGGTAAATGCAGAATTTACTGTAATTACTTTATATACTGCTGGGCAGCTTAATGTATTGCAGTTACAGTTGTGTAACTTCAGTTATTGTTTTTGATTTATTTGTTATTATAGTGGAATGGATTATACTGGGTTGAATATGTTATGTAATTGTTTTTGTTACAGCTGTAAAGTTTTCTCTTTGCAAAATGGAGAGAAATATTTAAGACTTGTTTGTACAAATAACTTTGTCATTCACTTTGACTGAATTATGGTTCTGCCTAGGCTGATCAGTTCATATTGAAGGTCTATTTAAGGGATTATTCTTTGTTTTCAAGTAATGTGTAACTGTGTGCATACAGTGTTACCTTCAGTAGATATGAGTTCAGTTTTCTTCATTAAGCCAAGTTTGCGATTTATTGTTTGTTGTTCTTTTCTTTATTTAGAAGAAACGTTACATGTGTACTGTAGTTGCATTGCGTACATAAAACTTTACTGAGTAACTTACCTTTTGGTAGCATTATAAAGAAGTTACATTATCTATTAAAAACGATCACTGAAGTGCTCTTAAGCAAGACACTAAACTCACAGCTGCTTGTTAGTGGCAAACAATGAAAGACATACAGTGACTGTGGATTTCCCTCCACATCTGGAATAAATGCGAATTATAATAATTTAATGGAAACATAAACTTTGACTATACGCTACTATTAGCTGTATCTATAAATGCTGTGATACATTGTAATGGATAACTGTAATGCAGTATATGTATAGTGTATCTGTTCCTGTCAAATAAACATGAAATGAGTTGTAGTTTTATGATTTATTCATCAGACTGATTAATAACTGAACTGAATTCACTCTGAGGTAAATGTCATAAACAGAAAATTAGAAGGTATTTCCTCCACAATCTCAGATTAGGATTAAAATGACCCCTTTACAACAGCACCACCGAGTGGACAGACTGCATGCATAACTGTTTGTTCCTAAATTAAACCTGATTCCTGTTCTGGGATTTTTAAAAAAAGGTGCTTCTATAAAGTCAGAACAGAAAGTAGACTGACAATTCCCTTAAGGAAATCTAAAAAAGTAGTAGCAATGTAACAGTCTTTCACTCGAAGGTTTGAATAGGTTGAATCAGTATCTCTGTCTCCCTGTTTGTCTCTCACAAACACAGGAAGAAGATGCTTCTTTCCTCCCACGAGCGTACTGAATATGGAACAGAGAGTAATAGAGGAAATGATACTTGATTGTCTCTCATTTTGCCTGTGGACAGGAACATTATGTCTGCCAGGCACTGTGAGTGTGTGTGTGTGTGTGTGTGTGTGTGTGTGTGTGAGCACTCAGATACTCTTTCCCATGAGTGCCACCACAATGTTCAAACCTCAAGCAGATCCCTGCAGCCAAACTGTGACCGAATCGTCCCAGAGTCTCTCCTCTATCTATCAAACTGTCAGAATGACCCACAGAGACGCTTTGAGCTTTCTTACATTGTAGGCTTAAGGTTTTGTAGATGATGCTCTCATACTGACACTGACAGGAGATGAAGAACAAGGCTTTGTTGTCCTCCAACAAGTGGTCAAAGACAAACTGTCCTGGAGTGACTAATAACCAGGCAGGTGAAATAGCGTGGCTTTATAGGTACAACTCCCATGATCCCACACTACTTGACAATGTCATCAAACTACATCTTATATTTATCTTACGTTGTTATTGTTTTAATATGAGACACCTAGTAATAGAAATCGCATACTGTGTGTTTAAAACAAACACATAATAATATAAAATATAATTTATCAGATGTTGTCTCCAAGCACTTTTTTCCACGTTTTATTTAAATTAATGTTTTAGTTTTCCAGAAAAAAGGATGAAAGAAAGTGTCTGAGGAAGAAAGTAGTGCAACAGAAGCTTATTTGGAGCAATTTGCTGCAGCCATGCTAGCTGTTGCTCTGCAGTGCTTAGGGCTAAATGCTAACACCATTAACGCAACATGGTTACAATGAAAATGTTAGCATGATGGTACACAATCTATTTTGCATGCTAACATTTGTTAGTGAGCAAAAAACAAATGTGCCAATCTTTTTACTAGAATGACTCTCTCAGTTTCTGAAAAAAAAAAAAAATTATTTTTTTAATGCTAATTGCCCAGGTTTACTCCAGAGTACTCCACCGATTTCCACTGTCTGTCTCATTATGGATTTTTCAAAATTGAGCACAACCAGAGATTTTGTCCGTTTTTATTCCATGCATTCGTCTTCCTTCTCAAAACCTGGCAACAATATTAACCATAGGGCAACTCAGTGCAATTGCCAACAGTTTATTGGCACCCTGTATCCTGCAGCAGAGATGAGGAGCAGCTGTAGAGGTCTGAAGCTCACTTTCTAACTCTAGTCCACACCAAAAGATTTTGTTTTCTAATTTTCAAACGTGTAATCTTCAGCCCCAACTGGTGTTGACTCAGGTGACATCACTTGAGGCAACATTATTCGTGCTGCTCCCTCTTGAGCCACAGAAGACATACATTGATGTGTAAAGTTGTCAGTTCCCCTTTAAGGTAGATTTTGACCACTAGTAGTGCTATGGAGTAATGTTTCTATGAGTGGTTCCCTGTTTGTATCATAGCACAGAAGGATGCACATGACCATGCAGCAATGTGGTATATTTTTGCAAATGGTTTTACACTGTTACACAGATAGTTAGTAATGTGCCAGCAAAGGAGCAGGAGAGGACTGCAAGATAAGAAGTAAACAATGTACGAATTTGCAAATGTGCTCAAGGTGACTTTCAGTCCTTAGAGGCCAGTACAGCTTTGTTTTCCTCCCCCCAAAACCTAATGTGGAGTTACTCCCAAGCCTCGTCACATATTAGTTAATGGGGCACATAATAAACATTATGGTCAATTTAATACTCAGGTGTATATAATGTCTCTGGAGATGTTTTGTCAAGTCTGAGAAATATTCCTGATAGTATCGCCCTAATTATCTCAGCTTGGAGAACACAAATTTGAAGCATGTGTGTTGCAAACAGAGGGGTGAGAAGTTTTTATTTATTCATCAGGGGAAAGAAGGCCCAATAAAAAGACACTATTGGACATTATGGGAAGTGTAGGATGACATATTTTTGCTGCTTACCTATACTGAAAAAACTAACAAAAAACAAAATTGCCTGAGTACTCCGTTAAATCACAAATTTACCAAACTCCCACAACATCAGAGAAGAGAATCCTTTTCCTTTAAGTGACTCTGTCCTGCCAAAGTGTTTCCAGTAAGCCTCGTCAACTAACCACACATAAAGTGCTTTATGAAGGGGTTAAAATAACACTACCAAGCGTAGGCTCAAGCTCAACTAAACTGCTTTTTTTCCCCCGCATGTATTTTTTAAGTCGTAATTGCACCAAAACCAGAAAAACACCCCTTTCTGAATTGCTACTTGTAGCAGTTTTACAGTGTTTTTATGGGGTTTGGTGACTCTAGGAGTTCCTGCAGTGGCGCTTTGAAGCTCAGAAAACACGCTGAAAACATGTTGAGACACACTTGGCATCGACATTTCTGGCATCACTTGAGGGAAAATAAGCGATCTGCATGTAACATGGAGACGGATAGTTTCCAATTGGTTTGGCACAGTCAGTCCAACTTTTATAGGAGTTTTTCTGTACTCAGAATCTTCTAGGAAAAGGTAGGAGGAGAACCAAGATTTTTTTTAAATTTTCTCTTAACTATTTCATGAATTTTAACCATTAACTATTTTTTACATTCTGTTATTTTGTTTCCTCTCTATCCGTTTTTTCTGTATATTCAATTGCTTGTTGAATTGATCCCATTCGATGTTGTATTGCTCTGAATTTAAGTCAAAACCTGGCAACAGGGAATGTGACAAATCTTTTTTATGTAATAGCTTACTTTTAAATTTCTTATATGTGTGCTTTTATATTTAACTTGTGCAAAGACACTCACCCACACAGTATTGTAATATTAAGGTTAAATAAAAGCACATCAGATGTGCTCATACTAAATCTTCCCGATGAAATGATTACCGGGACATAATGACGAGCTAATGATGAAATAAATGTACTTGACCTCAATCTGGGTTCACCATTTCTTGACTGTAACTGTACATACAGCCACCTTTGTTCAGAGTGAAGTACGTTCAACAGCAGAATAGGCTTTAATTGCCCAATCACCAACATAAAAAAACATGGAGGAGGTCAGAGCAAAGGAAGTAGAAGAAAATGACAATGTAGTGCAGATAATGTAACTGAAATAACGTCAGTCAAACCTCAAACAGAGAATAAACGTAAGCAGCTGTGTGATAGCATTTATGTTTGTTTTATGTATTAATGTGAGGAGGGTTACAGTCTGATGTTTTCATCTTTTCAGTCACACGCTTCACACACATCCTAATTTAGTGACTGAGTCTGTTTCCATTTCACTTTGTTGCTTTTATTGATAAGAATTACTTTTATTGGCCCTGTGTCAATGCACATACACAGAATTAGGCATACACACAGCAAAAAGAAACAACAACAAACAATTTTTGTCTTTACTCACTCAAAATTAACAATAACAAAATACTAAATTTGCACAAAAATGAAAGATTATAGCTCCTTTAAAACTCTTTTGAGGGTAACGTATCTCAAGCATTTCCATACTAATGATCTGTGTTCAGCATAACACCATATTTCTTATTATTATTATTCCAGAAAACACATACAGCAATAACAATAATAGTCATATACAGTACTATGAGCGAGGGGGCACCCTCACACAAGGGCTCATTGTCAAGGCTACCGCACTGTGCTTCGACTCAAACTGCAATGGAAGACGTAAACATTAAATGCTGGTACTACTGTCTAACAATGGCACTGGTGATTAATCACTTTATACCCTAAATTCTGACTAATATGAACACTTTTCTTCCCATAAACACATTGGAAACAAATCTACATATTGTGCCACATTCACACCGACTTTTCCACCTCAACCAAGAGAAAATACCTATTATTATTATTATTATTAGCTGTTGTTTCCTGGTTTCCTGGTGATTTCACTCATGTTTTTGATGCAGAAACTGAAAATGTGCATAAAGATTAGTGGATGGTAACGCACTAAATTGATGAATGAACAGTGAAACCAAGAAAGGAAAATAAAAGCCAGGAAAATGTGTTAAATCTTTAAACACCAGACAAGAATGTATATTATAAAATCAGGAAAGGAAAGTAAATAGAATAAATAAATACCATAAGTATAATGAAATCAAAAGATGAATTTTCCTGTTTTCTTTTTGTATTTGAACTGATTTGTGTTTTTAATGTTTGCAACTGAAAGAAGGAGAGGTTTATTCACAATGTGAATTAGCACACACACACACACACACACACACACACACAGTGTAACAGCTCGGTGTGTAGTTGGGTGTAGGCCATGATGCGTGCTGATGGTTAACATGTTGCATCACAGCGTGACTTTCTGAAACAGCAGTGGGTTGCTTAGAGCTGATGACGCCAATCGGACCTATGAATAACACACACACACAGAAAGGAGTCCACCTTGTGCGTCACACTGATTATAAATGCCACCAGCCTCTCTCCCCGACATTCATGTCTTTCCTCTCTCCCTTTTCCCACTTCGGTCAGTGCTGCTGAGCTGTCATCTGCTCTCCTGTTGTAGGATGAAAATTATTATTGAAAAATGTTCACCTCTTTTTCTGCTATGATGAGCATTTAGATTAATTAGAATACATAAAAATAATAATCATATTAGTTATTGTTATCATTGGAACAATTGTAGATAAACTCAATGCCCAAACCTCCTTAT